TCTCATGGTCTCTCCTGCCTGGACTGGCTTTGAACCATGATTCTCAGATCGCAGCCTCCTGAGTAGCTAGGATTACAGGCGTGAGCCACCAGCGCCCGGCTACAAAAGCTTTTTTGACCAAAGCCTTAAATAGGTTCTGTTCATAACCTTATGCTATTTTTATTCTTTACTCTGCAGTTCAATATGCTGTAAGGTGTTGTAAAGTAGCCAAGAAATTATATAAACATTTATTTATGATAATACCCTTTCAGCCTCCTGCTGAAACTAAGTCAAAGATTCACAAATTTAATGTAATTGATTTAAGAGCCCCCTAGAAGAGATCTTAACTTCTATTTCACGTGTGGGAAGCAGGAGATGTTTCTTGTTCTTTTCCCCCTCTTATCTCTACTTTAATAAATAATAAATCCCTGCTTAAACTTAAAATACAATGAAAGACCTAAAAACCTCAAAAGCTGGACATGGTAGGGGTATGCCTACTATGCCAAGGAGCTCAAGACTAGATTGGACTAAATAGCAAAACTCACAAAAGCAAGAAACAAAATAACTGTGAACACTGCCACCTAGTGAACTTTGAAAATAAAGGAGTTTAACCTGTGTACAAGTGTTTCTATGTCTGTACACTTGAGCTCATATTCCTTATTACTTTAACCTTACAAATAACAAAATAATTTAATCACTTTAGCAAATGGAAATATTGGAAATAGTCATAGAAGCTTTTGGTACCTAACTAACATCGCCATTTTTAAGAAACAGAATCAAATTAACATGGAAACTTGTGTGTGCGTAATATCAAGTGCTAAACTTGAATATAAGATCCTCATGCCAACTGCCGGGTGCCTGTGGCTCACGCCTGTAATCCTAGCTACTCAGGAGGCTGAGATCTGAGGATCATGGTTCAAAACCAGCCCTGGCAGGAAAGTCCATGACAGTCTTATCTCCAATAAACCATTAGAAAACCGGAAGTGGCGCTGTGGCTCAAGTGGTAGGGCATTTGCCTTGAGCTGAAGAGTGCAGGACAGCGCCCAAGCCCAGAGTTCAAGCCCCACAACCGACAAAAAAAAAGACAAAAAAACCCAAAAAAGATCTTCATGCCTCAGTTTCCCAAGTTACTGGATTAAATGCCTGGCATGTAAAAGGGTTATTTGTACTAAATAAATTTCATTTTAGGACACATATCCTATTTCTTGATATTATACTTTACTCAGGGCATGGTCACTGCCCCTGAGCTTTCTGCCTCAAGGTTAGCATTCTACCACTTGAGCCACACCTCTTTAAAAAAAAAAAAAAGGAAAAAAAGCCCTGGGGTGGGCCTGAGTTTTTGTGACATATTATGCAGGATTGTAGACAATCACACACAGTGAGCCCAAAAAAAAGAGGATACTCTTAGGAGAGAAACACAAAGGTGTAATGCCTAAGTGCCTCTTCATATGTATAAGTAATACTCCCATTTATAAAATAATACACATATTGTTCAAGGCTAGTGCCCTACCACTTACTTGAGGCCAGAGCGCCACTTCTGGCTTTTTTCTGCTTAAACAGTGGCGCTTACTGGATGAAAGTAAACTATACAATTCATGCTTAGAGATGGGTGGGTGGGACTGGGACAGAGTGAAGGAACAGAAGACACTGAATGAAAGAAAATGTACTCATTACCTGACTCGTAATTCTAATCCCTCTGTACATCACCTGTATAATAACAAAAAGTAAACTAAAAAACAAAGAGAGGGCCGGGAAGGTGGCTCAGTGGTAAGTGCTTGCCTTGCCTTGTATGCCTGAGGCCCTGGGTTTGATTCCTCAGCAACCACATAAGCAGAATAAGCCGGAATTGGCACTGTGGCTAAAGTGGTAGAGCACTCATCTTGGGCTAAAGAGCTCAGGGACAACGCACAGGCCCAGAGTTCAAGCCCTACAACCAACAACAATAACAACAAAAAGACTATAGAATGTTTAGCAGCATTTCTGGTTTCTACCCACTCATTGCCAATACCTATTATTTTTTAACTATGTATCAATCTTTATTATTGCTTATGTCTCACATATTAATGTATATATTATTTTCCAATTACAGAAAGAATGGTAAAAGACTAGAATAAAAATAGTTCTATTATTTATTCACAGGGAACTAGTTATAAGTATAAAATGTAATACAACACATACACTTTTATCTCTTCCATTAAAATAAACAGCTACAGAACAGCACATAAGCTTATTTACAAGGCATATTTCAATCAAGATATAACTAAACCAAAAGAGCGTAAGATTATAAGTAGAACTTTAAGTTTATGGGATATGCCTGAAGGAGGATTCCAAGTCTAGGTTAGCCTCAGCTGCATACATAATGAGGTCATCTTCAAAATAAAACAAAAACTTACATGTATGAAAATTAAATAGCCATGTTTATTATAAGCTCATGCTTATAATCCTACCTATTCAAAAGGAGATCTGAGAATTGCAGTTCAAAGCCAGTCTGAGCATAAAAGTCCATGAGACTCTCCAATTAACCACCAAAACCAAAAACCAAAACCAGAAGTGGAGCTGTGGCTCAAGTGGTAGAATGGCTAGCCTTGACCACAAAAGCTTAAAGACACCAGGCACCAGTGGCTCACGCCTGTAATCCTAGCTACTCAGGAGGCTGAGATCTGAGGATCAGGGTTCAAAGCCAGCCCAGGCAGGAAAGTCAGTTGGACTCTTATCTCCAATAAACCACTAGAAAACCGAAGTGGCGCTGAGGCTCAAGAAGTAGAGCTGGCCTTGAGCTGAAGAGTGCAGGGACAACGCCCAAACCCTGAGTAAGCCCCACCAACTAAAAGAAAAAAAATAGCTTAAGGACAGTGTCCAGGCCTTGAATTCGAGCCCCAAAACTAACACACACATTTATATGTACCAAACGGATCAACAGGGTTGTGAGGAAGGTGGGAGAATGATGTAAAGGGTGTCATTAAGTCGTGCTGTATTCATAAATAAACAAATTGAAACCACTTCCACAACTAGTTAAAAAGATAAATTAAAAAACTGAAATAAAAACAAAAGTGCAACTGGCCACTTTAACTTATTTTTAACATTGATAGGCTAAGTTTAAAACGGTTTAAAGTTCTGTTAGTTTATAAAAGTAGGAATAAGCCAGGCACTGGTGGCTCTGATCTGAACATCTTGGTTAAAAGCCAGGTTAAGGCAGGAAAGTCCATGAAACTCTTATCTCCAATTAACCGCCAGAAAACTCAAGTGGCGCTGTGGCTCAAGAGGTAGAGCTCTAGCCTTGAGCTGAAGAGCTCAGGGACAGTTGCCAGTGCCCAACAACCGAAAAATAAAAAAAAGTAGTAATAAAATACTAGAAGTATTATTTAATAGAAATATTAGCAATAAGTAGTAACAATCCTACTATTGAACAAAATTGTAACAAACCTCCTTGGAGTCATCTATTCTCTCAAAATACACAAAAGCAAATCCACGTGATCTCCCAGTACGCTGATCATAAACCACATTGACACCACTCAATGGTCCATATCGAGAAAATACTTCACGAAGATCTCTCTCTGTTGTGTACAAACTGAGGCCAAACACTCCCAGACAAGTGTTGGGATCTGGATTCGCCTATCAAATAAAAATAGTATTAAGTTTTAGTTAGAACTCCAAACTAAAATCAAAATAAAACCACAGTTTAAATAGGTTGTTTCCTACTAAAGTAAACCTTATTTCATAGTTCACATAATAGCCACTTTCTTTGAAACATTTTCTAGCCATAGCCTGAGCAAATATATTCCTAGCTTCTAGCCCAACAAATTTCAGAAAGTATCCTAAGAATTCACTCTTTATGTCTAATATATGACTTTATTTAGAGTCAATGACTTAATACATCTATATTTTCTTTTTCTTTTTTTTTGGTTGGTTGTGGGGCTTGAACTCTGGGCATGAGTGCTGTCCCTGAGCTCTTCAGCTCAAGGCAAGCAAGAGTTCTACCACTTTAGCCACAGCACCACTTCCAGTTTTCCAAAAAAACCCTTCCTAGTCACACACCCAAAACCTGTTTGTTTTGTCAGACATGGGGCTTGAACTCAGAGCCTGAGGGCTATCCCCGAGCTCTTTTGCTCAAGGTTAGTTCTCTAGCACTTTGAGCTACAGCTCCACTTCCAGTTTTCTGGTGGTTAACTGGAGACTGGTGAAGACTCATGGACTTCTCTGCCCAGGCTGGCTTTGAACCTCAATCCTCAAATCTTAGCCTCCTGAGTAGCTAAGATTATAGGTATAAACTGGCACCCAGCTCCTAACTTTTTTTCTTTGTTGGTCGTGGGAGCGGAACTCTTGGCCTGGGCACTGTCCCTAGCTCTTCATCTCAAGGTTAGCGCTCTACCACTTGAACCACAGAGCCATTTCCAGCTTTTTCTGCTTATGTGGTGCTGAGGAATTGAACCCAGGGCCTCATGCATATGAGGTAAGCACTCCACCACTGAGCCAACTTTCCAGTCCCTAACTTACTTATAATACAACATTATCACAAAAATGCAATTTTTTTCTGTGTGCCAGTTCCAAGTCTTGAAGTCTATTGCTGGCCCTGAGCCTTTTTTTCTGGTAATGGGCTAGAATTTTCTGGTCTGGGCACTGTCTCTGGGCTCCTTTTGCTCAAGGCTAGCACTTTATCACTTAAGAGTCTCATGGACTTTCTTGCCCAGTCTGCCTTTGAGCCAGGATACTCAGATCTCAACCTTCCAGGTAGCTAGGATTATAGGCATGAGCTTTTTTTGTTCAATACTAGTGCTTTACCAGTTGAGCCATGGTTCCACTTCTGGGTTTTCTTTTGGTGGTTAACTGGAAATAAGAGTCTCCAACATTCCTGCCTGGGCTGGCTTTGAACTGTGGTCCTCAGATCTGAGCCTCCTGAGTAGCTAGGATTTAGCCACGGGTGCCAAGCTTCATTTCTTTTTAAAACATTCAAAAGTAAAGAAAATGTAATCCCTTTGCAGCAGCTGTCATGAAATATACAGGCTTGCTAAGACGACATTTCCTTTATGGCATATCTAATATCTACCTGGAAATGTAAAGCAGCTAATTAAGGCTGTTTCTTGAGTACTGCCTTCAACAACAACGATATAGCCAGATACTGGTGGCTCACACCTTCAATCCCAGCTACTCAGAGGCTGAGATCTGAAGCTCATTGTTCAAAGCCAGCACAAGCTACTATAAAATCCATGAGACTTTAGATTGGCAGAGCACCAGCTGTGAGCAAGAAAGCTGAGCTAGAGGCTCTGTTGTTCAAGCCTCAGAAACTGCAATAAAAAAAAAAACCAAAACTCAAAAAGCAATGGCCTAGGTAGGGCTGGGAAGGTGGCTCAGTGGTAGAGCGCTTGCCTTGCATGCATGAGACCCTGGGTTTGATTCCCCAAAACCACATAAGCAAAAAGAAAAAAAGCTGGAAGTGGCGCTGTGGCTCAAGTGGTAGAGTGCTAGCTAGCCTTGAGCTGAAGAGCTGAGGGACAGCGCCCAGGCCCAGAGTTCAGGCCCCATGACCAGAACCAAAAACAAAACAAACAAAAAAAAGCAATGGCCTAGTTCTTATTTTAAGTAAACAAAAAAGCAAGAAATTAAGCCAGAACTATACAAGAAAAACAAAGCTTGTATTAATCTTTATACTACATACCCTGCTGCCTGTATGTCTTCTCCGATTAGACATTGGAGAGTGACTTCGGCTCCTTCGTCGCCGGTATTCTGGAGTATAGGATCTACTTCGAGATCTTCTCCTGTGAGAGTGAGACCTGGATCGAGTGTATCGTCTATGAGAATGCCTCCTTGACCTTGACCTTTGATGGAAATAAATTTAGGTAAAAATCTTGGAATAAGATATCATTTTTCTCTTCCAAGGCTGTATATATAAATCCCCATTATTCAACTTTCTTGCCTTTTTTGTCTTGTTGTTGTAATGGAGATCAACAATACTCTCCAATTTCCATACTCAGTCCTTCCCCTTTGGCCTTTTTGGAAAAAAAATTCTTCCCTGTCTTCAATCACTGTAACCTGTCCCTCTTTCTCAGTCTATCCCTCCCATTCACCTTACCTCATAAACATGTTAAACCTTTCTCTTTTTGAAAAGAAAAACAGAAACACTGCCATTACCTCCACAGTGAAATTCTAATTCTTATATGATCTTTAGTTCTGTATGCTCTTTAATAGTTAAGTGTCTTTTCAATTTTTCTTTAACATGCTGAAAATCTATTATTTGCTTAATTTATAAAATCTAACCGCCTATTTTAGTATATTTCTAATTAAAATTTTTGATGCATTTACCACCTACCCACCCATCAATTTGTTCACTGCTGCTTCCCATTTCCTGTCTCACACAAAATGGGCACGTATAACATAGCAGATAACCCCAAGAAGTTTAACGCTAGGTAGCCAGCTTTAGTGAAACCTGCCCCTACCCAGTCCTGGAAAATTAATGAAAAAATGATTTATCTCATCATTCATATGACCTATCTTTAAGCTCATTTAAACTAGTAATGTTAGTCATACAAAACAACTTACATAAGACATCCAGCAACTGGTACAAATTAGAAAGCTTAAAAGGACATAAAAGGGGAGGCTAAGGCTAATCAAAAAAATTTTTTTCTGGTTGTGGGGCTTGAACTCTGGGCCTGAATGTTGTCCCTCAGCTCTCAGCTCAAGGCAAATGCTCTACCACTTCAGCCATAGCGCCACTTCCAGGGGAGAGAAAACTAATGGAGCATTTTAACAAAGAAGGCTAGCAGCAAAGCTGGGGGACACTAATAGAATTTGCTAGATTCAAGGGCTGGTTATGGTGGCTATGCCTGTGATCCCAGCTACTCCCAGAGACAACAAATTGGGAGGATTACACTTGGAGGTTAGCTTGAGCTCAAGTCTCTAACGGGGAAAGAAAACAAAAAAAGCAAAAGCCCCAAACAAAAGACTTTTCAAAATCACCTAGCACATCCACCTGAACCTTCTCTGTACTGAATTACTGAGAAGTCTCCAATGGAAAACTACCTTTTTGTTGTAAACATATTGTTGGCATAAAACCAAACACTAATTTTCAATTAAATGTCAAGTACAAGCTGGGCACCGGTGGCTCATGCCTGTAATCCTAGCTACTCAGGAGGCTGAGATCTGAGGATCACGGTTCAAAGCCAGTCTGGGCAGGAAAGTCCATGAAACTCTCATCTCCAATAAACCACTACAAAATCAGAAGTGGCACTGTGGCTCAAGCGGTAGAGCTCTTCTGCACTCGCCTTGAGCTGAAGAGCTGAGGGACAGCGCCCTGGTCCAGAGTCCAGGCCCCACGACTGCCCCCCCCAAAAAAAAATGGAGCCAAAGGAGGGATGTGGTTGAACTTTAATCTGAAAACCTCTCGGTTTTAAAGCATTTTTAGTACTCAAACTTACCTGGATTTTGATCTTGATCGAGAATGGGATTCAGAGTGTTTGGAAACCCTTGATGGACTACGAGATCCTGACCTGCTCTCGGACTTTACACGAGCAGGAGTACCGGTTGGAGATTTTGACTGAGAGCGAGACTCCTAACAAAGAAGACAGTATTACAAATGGCACTGGTCATGTAGATGCCTAACACCTAACATTTAAAGTACCGTAATTATTTATATTGATTGCTCCTGAAAAACAAATGGTTAGGCAACACCCTCCAGAAAAAAATTTCAGCTCATTAATAACCCATTGTTAATACTGCTAACTGTCCTCAGTAATTCCCTACTTGAACCAGATCACCAATTTTCTATTAACTAAGTAATCATGCAAATTCATCTACAACTTGATCATACAGACACTGGAACATAAACCATACATTTACTTAACCTAGGACCCATTCATTCTTCCAGATCTTTTAATTCTACTTCACTCTTGCTTTCTACTTCTCTTCATTCTTCATTGAGTTTTTCATTTTTCATACTTCGTGTATTCTTCCCCAATTCAAACAATTCAAAATAGCCTTAAAATATTCAAGTGCTTCTATCTGACCAATCTTCTGTTCAATTTTTTCCCCCATTCAATTTTAATTTTCTGATCTTTAATACTTTTCATTAGCCTTCTTTTATCTTGATTTATCTTCCACATTCTTGGAAAAAACTCTTCAATTTCTTCACGAACATTAACCTTAATGGAAAAAGAACATTTAGTATATTTAAGCACGTGGGGATTATAAAACTCTGCTGGAGTTTAGAATGTTATCTACCAAATGGAAAGGCCAGCAGGTAAAGTGCAAATAACTAATTTATTTTTTTTAAAAAAACAATTTTATAGTCTTTAAAATTGATCACTGTAGTTTCTAACAGAATTCACTGAATTTCTCTAAATGGGGTTTTTGACCATACTTTTTACCCTCCTCCCCTTTCACGCTCCATTCTAGTTTCTAAAATGTAAGCAATTTTAATATAAATATTGAACTCAAATATAAATCTAACATTAACTGTACTTCCCCACCCCCATCTAAATACTATTTTCCCACTGTTTTGTAACCTGAAGATTCTTACTGATCTCAGAATAAGCTTTCAATAAATCATGATAAGCATAGCATCTCAGGCAAAAATATTTGTATACAACTATCTAAACTCATACATCAGTACACACACCAAGAATCAAAAAAGTAAAAAACATTAACAAAATTACTAACACACCTCCCTTCCGATTTTGTTTGACTACTATTATCTTTGCTTATTCTGACTTAACCACAAAGGTATGTTATGTTCTGAAGGCAAACATACTATAATAGCTAAGGGGAAAGTGGAAGCACAAAATTTCTCAACATATCCCTCTTTAGCTTATCAATTCCTAAAACATACATCTTTGCCACTATATCATTTTAAAACACTATACTTTCTGGGGAATATCATAATTTATAAAAAGTTACAAAATTTTCATATCATGGCCTCTATCTTGATCCTCTTTCATGCATGTATTAAAAAATAATTTATGTACTCGTGCATTTTACTTTTCACTGTGTACTTCATCTGTGTACACTTCAGTGAACAAGTGTACCTTTCCATGACAAAGCTTACTAGTTTCTAAAAATTTCAGATGCACACCAAAACTTAAAAAAGTAAATTATAAGCTTGTTTACTTAAGACAGATATAAAGGCCCTCATGACCAAATTGAACCAAGTTTGGTTTCTCCATTTAAGACTTGATTATTAAACTAATCACCCCAAGTTCATAAATGGTTTCATAACAATTTTCATTTACGCTCTAAGACTATCACACAGCCTTCTTATAACAGCATTGTTTAAATGTTCCCTTCAAATTTAATGTCAAAAGAATTATCAAGAACTGTATAATGCTAGCATGTCTATCCTTTTACAGATAAAAACAAAATGGAAAAAGCTACCTTTCTCTTCAATATCAACCTTCCCATTTAGGGAAGTCTTTCACAACATCTTAAGATACTCTAAATTCCTGGACAGATACTGGGAGCAGCAATACTTAAAAAAAGGCTAATTAGCTTGTAATTTAAGTATCAAGCAACTAAACTAAAATATCTTCCCCATATGGATTTCCCTTCTATAAAATAGGCTCTCTGGCCTAATATTAATTTATGCTGCTTGTTCAACAGCAGTGGCTGGAACAGTATGTATGAACATCACCAGACTTTGTTTTACAGACACTATAAAGTTTTAACTTTACTACAACAGAAATAAAAACCTTAATGGCTAAGATTTATTTCTAAATGTTTATACAAAAGCTTTCTAATACATGACAAAAGTTTAACAGTCCAAACACATTTATTTCTAAATGTGTTATTTCTTGTTTTCAAATCTGCTATCATGACATTTTGCTGAAAATAACCACTTCTGATTAATTAGGTATCTTAAAATTTAAACTTTAATACCAGTCTGGAGTAGCAACAAAACATTAAGCTACAACAGGGCTGCCTTTTTTTTTTTTGGCCCACTGTTGGGCTTGAACTCTGGGTCTGGGTGCTTTCCCTGAGCTCTTCAACTCAAGGTGAGCACTCTACCACTGAAGCCACAGCACCACTTCTGGTTTTGTGGTGGTTTATTGGAGATAAGAGTCTCCCGGACTTTGCTGACAGGGCTGTTTTTAAAAGGAGCTTTTCATACTATACTCCCTGCCCAAGTACTGGGGATTTAGGCATGGGCTCTTTATACCACAGACTTACATTCCCAGTCTAGAAGCTGTGTTTTTTTGTTTTTTGGGTGGTGGTGATGGTGTCTGTTGTGGGGCTTGAACTCAGGGCCTGGCTCTATCCCTGAGCTCTTGTGGTCAAGGCTAGTACTCTTATCACTTTGAGCCACAGACCCACTTCCAGTTTACTAATGGTTAACTAGAGTTATGAGTATCATGGACTTTCCTGCTCAGGATGGTTTTGAACTACCACCCTCAGATCTCAGCCTCCTGAGTAGGTAGGATGACAGGTTTGAGTCCCCAGTGCCCATGAAACTTTTTATTCAAGGGTGTCACCTAACTTCCTTTATTACTCTTCTTATCCAGGATATCTAAATTTGCTGAAATTTTTTTTAGGGAATCATCAGATATTAAGGAGTTCTCTTATCCCAACTCTTATTATCTTGTAACTGCCAACAAGCTTTATCTAAAGAACAAACTACAAATATGAAATAAACAGTCTTCAGAAATACTTAACAATATCAAAATATGATTACTGTCAGAACTGTGGTTGTCTTTACACAATGGTCATATTACCATTAATCATTTATAGTAGCTCTTTCTTCTCAAAGACTGTGATCAAATAAATGCCATTTTCACTAACTGCAGTAGAAATCAGGCACAATAAATCCCTTATGGAGTTAAGTCCCAGGTAATCTTTTTTTTTCTTTGACCTGTCTCTACAAAGAAGTAAACTCAACATTAGTATCTATTTTTGGTGCGGGTCCTGGGCCTTGAACTCTGTCTCTAAGTTTTCATGCTCAAGGCTATCGCTCTGCCACTTGAGCCACAGCTTAATACCTCTGGTTTTCTTCTCTTTAATAGAAATGAGTCAATCTAAGTAGCTAGGATTATAGGCACAAGCTATCAGTGCCCAGCTGTTTATTTTCTTTTGTAGATGGGCTCTCCCTTAAGTTGCCTAGTTGCTTTCAACTGGGCTTAAGTGATCCTCCTTTCTCAGGTTCCTAAACAGCTGGGAGTATAGGCAGGTGTTACCACAGCTGGCTAGTAACTTTTGTGTGTGTGCGTTTGTGAGAGAGGAGGGCACAGCTGGCTAATAACTGTGTGTGAGAGAGAGGAGGGCTGGCAATACTGACTGGGGTTTGCACTCAGGGCCAACAGTCTACGTGGCTGGCTTGACTATAACTTGAGCCAGGCCTCCAGCCCAGCTTTTTACTGGTTATTTTGTGTTTGTATTTTGTTTTTACTGGTTATAGTGTTTCTTGAGTGTCTGCCTGAGTTAACTTTTAATTGCAATACTGCAAATCCAACCCAAGTAGGTGGGATTACATGCGTGCACAAACTCCAGCCCTCAGAAGGCTGTAACCTCTGAGCCACACCTCCAGTCAATTTATCTGTATGTGTGTGCATGTACAGGCACACACCCACCCACACCACACACTTGTTGATAACTAGGGTTGGAACTCAGGGCTGTCTCTTAGTGTTGTTGCTCAAGACTAATGTCCTACCATTTGAGCTATGGCTCCACTTCCAGCTTTCTGGTAAAGAGTCTCAACAGACTTTCCTGCCTGAGCTGGCTTTGAACTGATTCTCAGATCTTACCCTCCAGAGTAGTTACTATTATAAGCCTGAGCCACTGTTGACCAGTTCCACTCAACTTTTTGAAACTAAGCTAACTTAGCTGAAATGGGCAGATTAATGACTCTCCTTCAACTTATACCACAGATTGTATTTGGTGATTATTTGGGATTGAATCCATGGTCTCTTTTATATCTTAAATTTTAACAGAAATTGTAAGTAGGTTCCCAATCTACCCACATAGTACAACTTTCAAACTGTGATCCTCAGATCTCAGCCTCCTGATAGGTCCAAGCCACTGATGCCTGGCTGTTTATTGTTTTTGAGATGGGCAGAAGTTTTCAAAGCACAACTTGCTCAAACAGACTTTTGTTTTGCAATTTACTATAGGCACAAGTTGTTGCAGAACACAATTTGATTCTTACCACAAGTGGTGACTGCAGCCTTAAATACATTATAAAAAAATCTAAAACATGGTCTTGTAATACTACAAATAAACACAAAACACTATAACCCTTTTAATATTAAAGCCACATAAATTTATGCCAAATGTACTATCCGACTGCTTCCTACTACATAAAACTGGAGACTCCTTGAAAGAGGATGTGAGGTTGACTAGAATACATCACTAACATGTGTGAAAATGTCCCTTGTACAACTAATGTATGTCAATTAAAAAAAAACAAAACAATGGGCTGGGATTGTGGCTTAGTAGTACAGTGTTTGCCTAGGATGCATGAAGCCCTGGGTTCAATTCCCCAGTACTACATAAACAGAAAAAGCCACAAGTGGCTCCAGGACTGGCAAAACAAACAAACAAACAAAAAAAAACAGACACACATACACATAAAAAATGAGATTCCCATAAAAATATGCTAGTGAATTTAAACTATATGTCCCAAAGAGAGAGCATATTTAAGACTGATTACCCAAAACTTTACAAGCCCTAAAGAATGAAACCACCTTTTGTATCTGTTCCCTGGTTTTTTTTTTGGTCAGTCATCGCGCTTGAACACTGCTGGGCTTGGACACTATCCCTCAGCTCTTCAGCTCAAGGCAAGTGCTCTACCACTCGAGCCACAGTGCCACTTTTGGTTTTCTAGTGGTTTATTGGAGATAAGTCTCCTGGACTTTCCTGCCGGGGCTGGCTTTGAACCATGATCCTCCTGAGTAGCTAGGATTACAGATGTGAGCCACTAGCTCCATTTTTCAGTCTATAAAAGTAACAGTGTCTCCATTGTCTCAGGTGAGGAGAGTTTGATACTTCCTTTACAGAAGCTAATCTGATAAAAAGAAATACTTCCAGTCTCTTCACAATAATTTAAGCTCATACCTGGCTGCTGAAAAAAGAACATGGTCTCATCGGCAGAGTCACAGATATCCTAACATTGTATGTCTATGTATTAGAGTAACTCTAAGAGTTTTTTGTTTGTTTT